ACCCCTGAAATGCCCAATCTGCTCCTTTAACTCGGAGAAGACATTACACCACAGATGAGAGCTGGGGCCGGGCATCACCCAGAGAGCGGGGCAGGGATTTGCTAGCTGTTCAGGTTTGCAACAGTAGCTTTACTCCTTTCAAAAATAGAGGCAGAAACTGTAAAAGCAGATACCATGAACTACTCAATACTATTTGTGAGTTAGAAACTTGTCAACCTCAATTCTATCTTACTCATATACTATATATAATATTTTATATTAAAAATATCCTCAAAGAAATACTGTTGCATGTATTGCCCGGAAATGGGAATTCCTTACATCTCAAATAATAAACCCTAATAAAACTATTTCCAGCCACCTCATTTCCGACGTCCTCTGGATGAGGCTGGTCGCTGGTCTGGGCAGGTAGGAGGTTTATTTGTCTTGGGACCTTGGCTCAGACTGTGTCCCTGGCCTAACTAACTCGCCTTCCTTCCCTATGCTGTGTACAAAATCTGTTGCTTTCAACGAGTCCATCTCTCGTCCATCTCAAAAAAGCCTCCCTCAATAATCTTGCTAGTTTATAGGAGTAAATTTTCTGAACCATAGATAGTATTTGTTAATACTCAGTTTAAAATACTACGGCAAAATTTTTTTATTATTCATTGATCTCAAATTCAGCTACAAAGAGGCACGTTTCCCAGGTGACACTAGACTCCTTAAGGAGTGGAAGAATGTATCAATAAATCTTTAGGAACCATCACAAGGCTAAACTGTAAAAAGTAGTCACTAAATAAGTAATTTAAATGTGACATAATTTCATTATAATTTGGATTTCTCATTTCCAAAGATGCTTGAAAAATAATCTAGTCTATCCCTATTTTTCTTACAATTATAATCTTTTTTATAATTTACACCAAAAATCCTTTTAATACTGAGTACTCATGAACAAATAGGCTTTAGCAGGCCTCCACATGCATCTTTTCTAGGTCTTGTCCCTCAATCTTAGGTTTATTACAGTCCTTTTTCTTTGTGCCATCTGACTTAAGCAGTCTCAAATTGGAGGAAAAAATGAAAAATGGAAATGTTCAAAGTGCAAATCATCTGAGAAAGGAAGATTGTTCTTCAGTTGTGGTCCTTTTGTAAGCATGGTGTTTAGAAGTCCTGGATTATGGCCCTGATCTCATCAGTCAAGTCACTAAAAATTTTTTTAATTCAGTATATGAAGTATACTGAAAAGAACAAAGGTAAACAAAACCACTAAATAATTTATGTTAGTAACTTCATGCACAAATCCTAAAGGACTTGCAAGGCTGAATTCTACTTTATGTCACATGTTTTTGGGGATTTTTAATGAGAATGAAAATGATTTATTAAGCATACATTTGCAAATCAGTACTTTAAGTCAGAGAGTAGTTAATACTGAGAGATGCTATTTTTTTACATAAAAGTTTCTCAATTTATAAAACATCTTCTATTGACAGAGAAGGCACAGAAAAATGCAAGTGACATCTGCTAAGCTTTACTTATGAAAACTTAAAGAAATCCTATGGGATAACATCACTCAATTTTTCCTGAAGTACCTCTGATGGAGACTTCCTAAACCAAAAAAAAAAAAAAATCTGGAAATAATTAGAAACTATTATAGTACCTAAAAAAGTTTACTGAAAACTAAATCTGCTATTCATCAAAGAACACAATACATTCAGAATAATGTCATGGAAAATACATTAGAATACATAGAATAATATAAAACATCTCAAACAAATCTGATTGTAAAACTTAAAAGAAGAGTTTGACAGAAGACAATATACAATATATAATGATCCTGTGATAGAATAATGAACTCTACAGGAAACACTGCCCCTAAATGACTAAGCACTGATTTTGTCAAAACAATATATAATATTAATTATTGTACATCAGTTCATTTTACTTCTAAATGACAGAAAACAATTTTAAAAAAGCATACTGTTACTGCAACTTTAATACAAATTGAAGGAGAAGAATAAACGGTTAATTCTTACAATTGGCTTTTGTGTCATAAGGCCTACATGGAAAAGAAAAATATCCAAAGTACAGTAAAAAAGTGTTTTGGATATTTATGGAAGAATAAATGAAATAGAATGATAATGCTAATAGCTTCTTAAAACATTATATGTTTTCTACAGAGACCTAAAGTCCACTGGGGGGTAGACTGGATGGCATGTCTTAAAAGGCTGTCCATATGAACTGAATTATCCTTGACAAGTACCTTCAGACACTTGTAATATGATCTCATGTAAATTTAGACCATATTTTGCACACAAACCACTAGCAATAGTGAGTTTATTCAAGAGGTCAGATAAGAAGGAAAGAAAGGCTGATATTCTTACTAATATGTAGTTAACATGAAATTTCTGAAACGAAAAGCATAAAATAAGAGCATCTAATGTGTTGTAGCAAGTGAAAGGAAAACAAATGCTACAAGGAATGTTGCATTTTCTTTTACTTTTCAACTAGCTGTTACCTACTCTCTCCAAGCAAAATTGTATCCTGCAGTAGGTTATCTCAATTAGAAAAAAGGCAAAGCACATTTTAAGCAAATCAATAAACTGGAAAATTCCATTTGCAACTGAAATTTTATTTTAACCAAGAATTAGTCACAGTTTGGAAAATATCTCAGTGGTATTTCCTAAATGTAGGAAAAGAAATATATACAGATAGTGTCTCATAATAGTGATTCGTTCAGATTTTCAACTATTTTATCAGCACTACTAGTAACTGCTCATCATAGCTACATGGAGCTATCAATTCTTGCAAAAGGCTGACTGTAAAATAAAGCAGAAAGACAACTCAGAACTGTGCAGTTTTAAAGACTCCTCAGGACTGCCTTCTGCTTTGGCACAAAAACAGCCTACAGAACATCGCTAATTCTACAGGGAGCAGCTCCACTGTCAAAGAGCTGCATTAAGGCCTGCGGAGGAGAGCCCAGCTTTGGGGAGGGCTATGCCAAGCACTCTGCAAAGCATCATTAACTATATTTATTTTTCTGTCTCAGAAGTCTGCTACTGCTATGGGCATCCTGCTAATGGGTGAAAATAGGATATGAATCATCTTGAATTTGAGTAGTAGAGAAAAATGGCAGATTATTTTAATAACCTTTGAAAGACACGTCCATTTTTTTGTGTCCTTAAAACCAAAGTTTTCTACGTCTTTGGAACAATTAATGATCCACAAAGATGGTTTTGTAAGCTCATCTCACAGAATAGTAAATTCCTCCCACCTGAGTTGTAATGAAGGATGATTACTCATTCATTTCCTTAAAACTATCTCATGGAAAGCAACATTTCAGTTTAACAGAATATAACACAACGATTGGAACTATTTTTCTTTTACAAACATACATACTGAAGTCTCTTAAATAGGATACACCGAGTCGATTAATCCGTTGCAATATTTTAATGCACTCTGAATTATTTAAAATATTCAACTTAAAAATCAACTGAGAGACATGTTTATAATACTGCTTTGCTCAACCAGGGAAGGGAAGTGCACTGCAGAGAGAGCTTAAATTTCTCACTCTTCCTTTCAATCAATATCGGAGGCAAAGTTTCATCTCTAGGGCCCTTAATGGCAGGAATTCCTGGAGCCAGAGAATGAGTAATGTTAAGCCTATGATTAGATGATGAGGCCATCAAAGACACCAGACCCTAGTGCTACATTCCTCTTTGTTTCTCTGAACTGCAGGGAAACCCAGAGCTAAGGAAGAAGGAAGTGTATGCTATTTTTTTTCCATAAAATCCTTTATTTTTAAACATGTGCATTATCAAAAACCTAAAAGGTCCAGACAGAGCTCTTGAATGGTTCTCGAACTCAAGACTCGAGCATTAGGTCACAATTTTCAACTGCCCTGCAGATGAACTGCACAGATGTTATTTTTCTTTAACTTTTTCTTTATTTATGTTCTTCCTGGCTGCAAAGGGGGACATGGACCTCGTGATTTCCCTGTGAATATATTCTTGAAGAAAGTAAACCTGAAGACTGGAAATCAGTAGGTAAGTTTTGGTTGTCTCGTTTTTGCTGGTATTTATAGAACAATTGAAGCCATATTGTTATTTATTCGGGAGTTAGCTGAGGGTGGAGGCAGACCTCAAAAGTCAGTGGCTAGAAACTGTTTAGATGTATTGTTTCTTTCTATTGAGGAAACTAGGGATAAATGTAATAACTATTTCTTACAAATGTCCATAAGTTGTTTTTTTTGTTCTTATATTAAAAACATTTTAATACTTATATGAAATCAGGTTCACTAGGAGACTTGAAAAATTAATGAGAAGAAAGACCATTAGGTCTCTATTTTATTTATCAGAAAAAATGTCATATACACACACACACGCATACAACACACACATTTACTTATAATTGCTAAGAAGAAACAAAACCCACAATTACAATTTTATTTTAAATTCTGATTATCAGTGGGAAATAGCATCAGTTGATTTTTAGAATTTACACCTAAATATATAAGATTCAAAAAAAAAGAAAACAGTAAGGTATTATATCAAAAACCCCTCACTAATGAACTCTATTTTACATTTTGGCTACAGCATGAAAAAACTCAGTGTTCAATATCTCTGAAGAGAGAAAAGAGACCATGTAACAATCAACGTCAAAATCATCAACAGTACTGTATTGTTTTTAGAAAGTGGCTATAGAGAAGGGTATCAGAAGATCTGTAGCAAGTCTTACACACATATATATCCTTACAGAGATAAGAAGTAGGGAACAATGGAAGGATGGGGAGGATGGGAAAGAATAAGAGCTAAAGACAGTGGAAGGAGGGCGAGGGAGGCTAAACAATGTTTACATGGTAAGACATCTACATTAACGTGTATCTCGATGTAAATGATTTTCATCTACGGCATGATAACTGGAAGTTTAAAAAATATAAAAACATATGCACATGCGTGCACATACATTCTGTTAGTGACCTTAACAGATCTCATGCGGTTTGATGTGATCAAGTGAAATCCATTTCATACCTGAGAGCAAAGCAGCATGACCAGCTCGACCACAGACGTGCTGGACTTCATGCACACGAGGCCTGCGACAGAGAGGGGTTGGGACAGGTGAGATCACAGTGGCAGAGGGCATCATTCCAAGCTCATTCCTTACACAGTTTAAATTTATAAAAACTTTCTTTAAAATGGAACTCCTAAAATAAAATGAACTAACATATTTTTATAGCATTAATGAAAAATATTCAGATACTCAAGAAGACATGGAAAATATAAAAATTGACTCCATGGTTGGGTTATTTATGTGGTCAAGGCCCTTATATTTAAGCACGGCAGGAGCAGTCAACGAAGTCGATGAGCTAGTGAGCGCTGTTTATTCCGGGGACATCTGCTGTGTGACTGTCCCCAGGCACTGAAGATCTGCCTGGTTTTTCTTCCAAAAGACCAAACTGAAATAACTTACGAATAGATGAATTCCCCATAGGTTGTTAATTGTTAAATGATTTTTAAAATATTAAAAAGTGAATTTCACACAACTAACATATGAAGCTATGTTTATTTACAAATCTTCCATTGTTCTGCTTGCAAATGTCTGAACAGACATGAGAACAAAAAAGAATTCAAAGGCATAACATGTACATAATAATGACTAGTACTTATTGTTCCCTTACTATGTGCTGGGCACCGTTAGTTGTCTTATGTACATGTCTCCTTTGGTTTTCATTTACGTGTGACATACTATTCTCATTCTGTAGCTAAGAAAACATTCTTCCTATGAACAGTTGAAACAATAATTACTCATGAAGACTTAGAGGGGATCATGACCGGTAGTTAAAGTGGCGACACAGAGGAAGAGGTTCCCAGGGACTCATGAGCTCTCTGGAGGAGAGTGTGTTGAAGATGATGTTCCCTAATGCAAAATACACTTAAAAGTTTGTCACAGATTTTTAAAAAATTAACTCCATACACTTTTTTAAAAATATGAAGACACATGTACTGAAGACATTGCAGAGTAAGAAATGCCACGGTCTCACGTAAGTTGTTCCTAAATGGAAAGTTGAAGAGAAACCACCTACTGTGATCTCAATAAAGTCTCCAATGCCTTCTAGTCACTAGCATGTGTATTTACTGCAGGTAGTGGATAAATACCCTTTTTTGCACACTCTGTTTACAACTCTATCCTTATTGTACAGACGACAGAACAAGTTGTAAAAAGGCACTAGTTTCCATCTTATCAGATCTTTGGGCAGACAGTTGACAAATGAAATGAGAGGCAGATGTGAAAATCTCATTTAAGAGAAAATTGCTGTAATTGATCAGCAGTTCTCATGCTCAGGAGCTACGGAGTGAGAAAGATTAGAGTGAGAAAGATTAATGTGACATCTGTCACCTGTTGGCTACTCAACTATTTGAAATTCTGACAAAAACTAAGTAAAAGGCCAAAGGACTATGGCAAAAGGATCATAATTAAGATATTTACTCCATATTCTCTTAGATTTTAGACTGTGAGGCCATATATATAAAGAACGATTAGACTAAGGCTATATAAACAATGCCTAAGAATTATTCACCACATATTCTGTATGTTAGTTTGTAAATATATAAATTTAAAGAAAAGTTTTAAAAAACATGCAATCACATCCATTTCTCACAGAATTTTTTAAATGAAGTTCTAAAGAACTACTATGGAACATGAATATTCATAATTTTTACAAAGACTATTAAAAAATGTAAACAAATGCTCCATCTACACTGCATTCAAAGGAAATTATAACAAACTGATAGGATAGCAAAACCACAACTTATCAATACTACTCTGAATACTCTGAAAACGCCATGATGATTTCAACTCTACAGACCCTCACCTTTATTAATATGTTTTGTCTACTTAAGTTTTGAACAGAATGAACTAGTAGATTCTCCTCAAAATAGAAGGAAAGGAAAAAAACTAACCTTGAGAATGAGAAAATAAGAGGCAATTTTGGAAGACTTACCAACCTTCAAAAATCACTTTAGTTAGAACTATTTCTGAGTGTTAACAAAAGTATTAGTAAAACAGAAGTTTTTATTAGGAATAATGAAAATGCAAGCATTGTCCGATGCACTCTATCCTTGCACACTTTTTAAATAAAACACCCATATTTGAAAATTTAAGATGTCAGTACTAAACATGGTTTTTTTTATAACTTTAATTATAAGTGGAAGAAAGTCAAATTTACCTAGTGATGGTATAAATAACTCAGGCTGTATAAGCATATGCATAAAATATGCAGATTTTATGAATGTATGTCTCATACAGGTTGAGTTTTCTTCTTATATCCCACAAGAAATTCATAATCAAAGCAACTCATTTGATATATCCTCATATGAGCAAAGTATATAGTGTTAGCAAAGTATATAGTTTACAGCAATGCATAAAACATTATTTACACCTTTCCAAGTGCTTATTTTAATTCAGATCTAAGATTACCTAACATTTACATAGAGCTTTATCTTTTATGAGCCATTCTTTGAACTGGTTGTTATTCCCTCATGTGACTGATAGAAAATGAAGATTCAGAGAATGGCCCAAGTACTTCATTCAGTAAGTGCTGGAACTGGGTTCTGAGTTCAAGTCATCTAGTTTGAGAGCTCATTTTATGTTTGCTTCAAAACAACACAAATACTTTGACAGTAACAGGATGGTGATCTGTGACTATGAGAAAGGCCATACCGGTTAATTCCAATTTGTATGATCTGACAGTTTTCTTGGAAAGGAGAGCGTATGTTGGTCAGACATGGAGACAAAACATTACTGCCTGCAAAACGTACAGAGGGAAAGGGGAACAAAAAAGGTCTAGAACAACATTCAGTGCTTGGGGAAATGATGCTTAAGACTACACGATGATGATTCAAGTTTGAAAGTGGGACTGAAGGATTAGGGTAAAATTCAAGATAGTCACAGACTGAAGAAATAAAATTATAAATGGTTTTGAAAGTTAAGAGGAAGAATTTAGAGCAAGTCACAAAGTGGTGAAACAATACTAAGGTTCAGGTATGGTATTCCCATGCCAAGAGAGCTTTTCCTGACTTGTCCATTAAGAAGCAGCCCCCAAAGCAGCTGTACATATGTGCCTCTCCAATAAAAAGCTAGTTAGAAGTATTGATCAGTGAATAGACCATTTTCACTGGCAAAGAGACATTTACTAGGATAATATTCTGACTAGAAAGGCCAGCCTAGTACTGTATACCACACTAGCTTAGCAGTATAAAATGAAGAGCAGAAAATAACAGTAAACATAACCAAAGAAGGCTTCTATACATGGGAGGTTTTACAACAGTGAGGAAAGCTGTCTAGAAAGAGCTTTTGAATATAGTCTGAATTACACTGTTGAACGATAAGGTTGACTGGGTGGCTTAGATACCAGTACTGGAGAAGATTAATGAGGTGGACAACTCTGAGGTGGCCAAGATCCAGGCAGCACACACAGAATGGTATAGTTGAGTAAATGGGGATAGTCATCCACACACTGGCATTCTGTCCTAGAGGAAAGAGATTCGTTTTATTTTCAGAACTATATTCCCTTGCCACAAAAGAAAAACACAGAAACATAAAAATACCAAAACCCACTACATTGAAAAATGAGTGCGAAGTTAAAGCTTTGACATGTGGGACAAAACTGACTTTCTTTCATACAAGGAAGACCGGAAGCCACATGATGCTGTTTGAATGCGGAGAGGTCGGACTCCTGTGGGACAATGTGCGCATCTGACTTTGTGTAACTGTAGAATTGTAAGATCGAATTAAGAGCCCTCAAGCTTTAAAACAATGTGGAGAAATTACATCTGTAGCAGGAGGTGAAGGGCATGGAGCACTTCAGGGACAAGCAAGGAATCAGACTTGTGCGACTCATCTTTTAAGTGACGTCAGAAGTCGCTTTCAGCAAGAGCCCTGTGCCAAGAGGGGAGGCCCCTAGGCATCTGTGACGAGGCAGCGCTCGGGGTATATTCTCGATAAATATCAATTCCACGAGTAAATCTAGAAACCATATTCACTGAATAACTACTGCAGTTGATAGAGAAAAATGTGAGGAAAGTGGACAGATGAGTAAGCAAATAATGACATAGACTCACAGGAGATACATGAAGAATACAGTGTTAGCAGCATGGACAGGGAAGTGAGCAACTGCTCTGAGAATTCACAGGGAATGGGACATGTGAGTTGGGTGATGTGGGCGCAGCTGGGCCAGAGAACGCAAGAAGGGAAGGTCATCTGCGGTGACAGAGGTGTTAGAAGTAGAAACATGAAATACTTAGTAAGATGAGTTGGACTGTTTACTGGGGATGGAGAGGCAGGCAGCAAGCAGAGCCGCACGGGACACTCTGTCGCGTGAGTTTAAGCTCTAAGTTTTATTAATTTTGAGCTTTAGGATTTTTTTTTTTTTAGGTATGGATGCTGTAACTCTTTACTAGATGTAAATAAGTCACACAGATAACACGATATTGAAGAAAATATAACTGGAAATTTTATGAATCTCCCTGGCAGAGTACCCGTCCCCTTCTTACCAGTACAGTGTTACCACTGAGTTTCCCTGTTTCTCCTCACAATAAAATACACCAATTTATACTTTCCATCAAAGAGATATGACTATTTTGATGGTTTGAATTAAAAAAAATCAAGTCTGCCCAGGACTATCTAGTTTTTAAATAACTCTCTAGTGATTTTAACTTTTTAAAATTCCAAAGTTCGTGGATATCAATAGCACTGAAATAATTGAAAATTTCCTTTTAGTAACAAACGTTGACTAAGAACTACAGATCTTGGAACACGTTTCGCACGCTCACCGTGCTGCCCTGCTTTCGCTTCCGTGATGTACAGCTAATCATTTATTGAAACCCACTGTTCTATGTAGTCTTCGCCTTAACATGAAGCACTCTAACTATACAGCACACAGGATTGTCGCGGTACCTGAAATCGAAGCGTTCCTAGGAAATCTTTTGCAAGCTGAAATGGCAGAAAGTGAAGTAGCAATTACTGTTAATTTATATGGAAGAAAAATTTGAATGTAGTGCCTTCCGGGGGTGGGGCTCGGCGGGGCCCCTCTCA